GTGGTTAAAATGAGAGAAAAATACTCTCTCAAGAGTTTCGGCAAAGACTCGTGTGTTACCAAATTTGAATACCTCTCGAGTGGAATTTCCCGATCCTACACCCCTGTACATGAAAGAGTCTTATAATATTGTACAAATATGAACATTTAAAGTCGAATAATAAAACAATTACGTCTTCTTCGATTGTTCAAAAATATATGTAGAAATATAATATAATGGAAAAGGTGCCTGTAAAGTATTTTTATGTTAATAAACAACTTATTGGAACAGCAGATAGGTTGTTCTTTAACAATATTTCATGTAAAACGCCGAAGTCGCCGTGCTCATGGAATATTAGAGAAAGTGTTTTTCTCCTGCCCACACAACTCCAACAACCCAGATGGAGTATAAAATGGTCTGGGGTTGGTGTTGCGGTATCTGTGCTGTAGCATTCAAGTGATGTGGCACTATAAATGATACCGTTGGAAACACGGTCCCACTACAAACAGAACACAATACATCTCCAGCACACACACAGGCATACATACATAGGGAGATATTAGCCAGGTGGCATAGGAATAGTAGTTAGCGTCTGATAAGGCAGCTCCTGCGAATTCTTCAATATTGTATTAATCAATATATAGATGCTAATTGTATTGACTGTATAAAATTGTATATCTATGTACTGTAAAGCGCTTTAGAGTGGCTTATGTTAGCTAGATAGGGCGCTTTATCAAATGTTGTATGTTTTTTTATAAAAAAAAAAAAAATGTGTGAGAATATATTCCAATTAACAGGTCACGCCAACCCCAGAATAATCATAGGGGTCGATTATAACTGGAGCATATTTTAAACAAATACAGAATTTTGACGATGAAATATATTGTACATATTTTGCAAAATTCATGTATGTAGACATCCATCAGGCACGTCATAAATACGGAAAAGGATTTCACACCAAGTCCATTTATAAAGGTTGGAAAGAGTCAAGGAAAACGTCAACGGAATTAAAAAGTAGGGGAGATAGAAAGAACGTGAGAAAAACTCCCAAACAATGAAGGAGGATGTACAATGAAGGTTTATTTTGGTCTAGCTCTTGTGTCTTGTTGGTTTTGGTCTATCGCTTGTCTCTTGTTGATTTTGGTCTAGCGCTTGTCCCTTGTTGATTTTGGTCTAGTGCTTGTCCCTTCTTGATTTTGGTTTATCGCTTTTCCCTTGTTGATTTTGGTCTATCGCTTGTCCCGTGTCGATTTTGGTCTATCGCTTGTCCCTTGTTGATTTTGGTCTATCGCTTGTCCCTTGTTGATTTTTGTCTAGCGCTTGTCCCTTGTGTTTTTGGCCTAGCGCTCGTCCATTGTTAATTTTGATCCATCGGTCGTCCCTTGTTGATTTTGGTCTATTGTATGTCCCGTGTTGATTTTGGTCTAGCACTTGTCTCTTGTTGTTTTTGGTCTATCGTATGTCCCTTGTTGATTTTGGTCTATCGCTTTTCCCTTGTTGATTTTGGTCTATCGCTTGTCCCTTGTTGATTTTGGTCTAGTGCTTGTCTCTTGTTGATTTTGGTCTAGCGCTTGTCCCTTGTGTTTTTGGCCTTGCGCTCGTCCATTGTTAATTTTGATCCATCGGTCGTCCCTTGTTGATTTTGGTCTACCGTTTGTCCCTTGTTGATTTTGTCCAGGGCTTGTCTCTTGTTGATTTTGGTCTACCATTTGTCCCTTGTTGATTTTGTCCAGGGCTTGTCACTCGTTGATTTTGGTCTACCGTTTGTCCCTTGTTGATTTTGTCCAGGGCTTGTCTCTTGTCGATTTTGTTCTACCGCTTGTCACTTGTTGATTTTGGTCTAGCGTTTGTCCCTTGTGTTTTTTGCCTAGCGCTCGTCCATTGTTAATTTTGATCCATCGGTCGTCCCTTGTTGATTTTGGTCTATCGCTTGTCCCGTGTTGATTTTGGTCTAGCGCTTGTCTCTTGTTGATTTTGGTCTATCGCTTGTCCCTTGTTGATTTTGGTCTAGCGCTTGTCCCTTGTTGATTTTGGTCTAGTGCTTGTCCCTTGTTGATTTTGGTCGAGCGCTTGTCTCTTGTTGATTTTGGTCTAGCGCTTGTCTCTTGTTGATTTTGGTCTAGTGCTTGTCCCTTGTTGATTTTGGTCTAGCGCTTGTTCCAGCTGGTCTTTAAAGCTGTTTCACTGTACACGTTTTCTTACGTGAAGATATTTGACCCTATTTTTTGGGGTAACCGATGGAAAAGAGCTTGATTTTCGCTCAAACACCAATGTAAGTCCTTCACAGATAAAATGAATATTTTCGCTTACTGTTCCTCTCTCATCGTATTTACTGTGCTTTACTGTGTACTGATGTGTGTAAATATGATACATTTTACCTAATGGTAGTCGGTGAAAAGTGCGAGCATTTCCCGGAATATAGTGACAATAGCGAATACATTTAGTGGGAATTTAGAACTTTTGAGTAAATAATAGAGAATGGACACGCAAAAAACAATAAAGGAAGTGTTCATGGCGAAAAAGAAAGTGATACGAGATATTGTTTTCCGATTGTAGTTCTGTCTGATTACTTCTTGGGGATCTACGCAGGCAGGGCTGATATACAAATGTACCTAGGAACTGGTTATGATATTGCCACAAAGATATTGTATGACATTAACAGATGAAAAACAATCGAAAATGACAGAAATAGCTGATTGCTTTCTAAATTCCAATGAAATAGACCACGGCGAACACGGAGTTTATGTCTAGGAGTCATTATGAATCATGAGATTGAGATGAATTTAATTTCACTAATAGCTATATCATGTTGATTTCAACTAAAAGGTACATATAATGACGTATAAGAAGGATATGAAATGCCTCTAACCCTCAGTTAGCCAAAAGCTAAAACGGCCTGTCCAGAAAAGTTTAGAAAGATCGAGTTCCAAATACGGGCAATTGTATTTGTATGGCATTGTTGTGCAGGACTATGATTGGTGATAATGACGGGGAAATCGGACAATGTTGGAAAGATGTTTTCCTGAGTAATGATCATCGATTGTCAAATGCACAACGTGGACTTTCCCTGGTGAATTGATGGTATGATTTCTTTAGCCTTAATCACGTCTATCTTGGTCAAAACATTGTCCGTCTCAAATAGTTCGCCTTGAGGTGGGATTGATTAATACGTTTCCCCTCTATCCTAGAGGCGCATATCGTCTGTCGGGTGTACTTTACATACGGTACAACTGCGCCGTGGTCAAAGTTACAGGCAGTTTATCATCAATCAACATAAGATATATTGCTTATCAGAGTTATTTGGTGAGATGTAAGAGGTTTTAATGCTTTTCCCAACTTTCATAGAACTCGTTGGTTTTGGTGTATTTTGTATCCCTACTGGTGACATCTCTACGTTGTAATTTGTGTATTTTTGATCCCTCGGGACATTTCTGTTGTTTTGGTGTATTTGTGGTCATCATCATCATCATCATCATCATCATTAGATCATCATTTGATCTAAAGCAGTCTTTACGGTGAAAGAATGCTGTTGATAAAATTATGTTTATGTTAACCTTTGGCGAAATGATTTATTTCACCTTGAAGACTTATTCAGTCAACTCGCTATTAAACGATACACAAGACTGTGCATGTATTTAAATCATAGAAATTTAATGAAGCATATTTGATGGAATGTCAAGGTGTCTGAAATAGACAATGTTAGCATGTATAGCCATGGTGTCTGTGGTAATTGCGAAATGGAAATATCTTGGCGTATTCCATTTGGCAGCCAAAGCTAAAATAGAAACGAACTTTACAAGTCACACATGATACATCAATGAAGTCTGTCAGTATGTCAATTCACCACGTGAGTTATAAGTCTGTATGTCCCATGAACGCATAAACATTTTAACACGTGAATGTTTGCGAGTTTGAAACTGTTCGGGTCTTTCTGTCATACTGTAGAATTGACCAAGATCAATTACTTCACGAAATGCTGACGGAAAGTCACGAATAAGAGTTGTCCCCCCTGACGGAAATGGTCGCCATAGTTAACAATATTCGTACAACGAATGGCTGTTCCACATTTCATAGACCCTTTGTTTAAAACGTAAAAAAAAACACCAGAATTTAAGGATCAAGATACCGCGCAGCCTCGGATTGCATTTGAACAAGACTGTAATGTATCGTATCATAATTGTTAAAAGATGGAGTTCAATCGATGATTTCCATATAGAATTTTATCGCAGTTTTATTGACTGTTTTAGATGTTCCCGAGCACTGACAAGGGATCAACATCTGTTACCAATCTTCTTTAATTCATTTTTATTGACATAAATTGAAGAATTAGAAATACAACAGAGGGTATGATTTTCATCAACAATGACACATGAATTGTATTAGACACGACCGTTATTCTTATTTGTCGTATTGATTCGTTTGAAGCAAAAAGTTAGTCTAATGGACAATGCACAGCCTTCATTTATGTTCATTTCTTCAACACAATTGTTTTTCTTTTGTTATTACAAAAACTAAGTTATTTTGCAATTAAGCTGATCCAGTCGTCATAGAATTGTCAGCTTTGTTGTGGTATCTGGTGTATTTATAATATCTTTGTTGTGGTAGTTTATCAGTTTGAAATGTTTATAAGATCCTGACAAAGGTCCATTACAGCGAACTGTCTGTAATCATTCCATCACTCTCACTGAAAACAAAGTCTGTCCATATACTAGACCTGTTAATAATACCAAGATCAAAGTGTTAAGTGGTATTTTTAATAAATCAGAAAAAACTCGAATTTGGGGGAATCACTTTGGGGG